TATTTTAAGACATTTTTTATGTTTATGCATTCTTTTTATAGATACAAATATTTAATTAAATGCTCTGTTTATAATAAACAGTATTAAACAACATTTACGGGCCTGAATATCCGAGAAATTTTCACAGAAAATATTCGTCCTCAGACAGGATTCGAACCTGAATCCTATACGAAACCGTCATTTAGCTTGACCGATTTGGCCACAGAGGAGCGTTCGGTTAGCAAGGTCGAATTTACTGCTTTTAAACTTCAATCTTCCATGAATCTCTCACGTACATTCATATCTGCTCATGGCGTATCAAATATAAACAAAGGACGTCACACATTATGAAAAGAACAAAGTCCGACAATTATTTTTAAGAGATTTTTATAGATACAGATATTTAATTAAATGCTCTGTTTATAATAAACAGTATTAAACAACATTTACCGGAGGACGAATATTTTCTGTGAAAATTTCTCGGACATTCAGGCCGGTAAATGTTATTTAATACTGTTTATTATAAAACAGAGCATTTACTTAAATATTTGTATCTATAAAAAGAATGTATAAACATAAAAATGGGTTATATATATATATATATATATATATATATATATATATATATATATATATATATAAACAGTTTCTCTTATAGTGTTAAAATATTTGAATTACTATTTTTTCTGATTTTAAACTAGAAAATATTTACTTGGAATTTTGTACAGATCCGATCGGTGATCTTTTTCATTTTATTTTTATTTTTTTTCTAAACGTTCAACCAATAAGAATCTCAAAAAGCCACTGAAGGTACAATATCACTAAACGTGGCTGTTGTATGAGTGTAAGTGGAGGAGACAATAAGTGCAGTTTATTAGGATATGTAGTAAAGTTAATGATTTATCTTAGACTTGAAGAGGTTAAGATTGTAGTGATTGGGAAAGCATCCTCTCGGGAGTTTCTCCCCCCAAAGTAGTCAAGACGCTGTCCAAGTGGAACTTCTTTTTTAATAATTAATTAATCGTCCCAGTATACATGACGTTCGTTCCCACGCTCTTCTGTTGACTATCAGCCATGAAAGAATTATCTGACATCATTTTATTAAAGACGCGCGAAAATGTATTCTTCATTGAGTCATTTTTCTACCGAAAACAATAACAGAATTTGCTAACATGTCACATTTACATAAATGCACGCGCTTACAAAATTCAAATAAATGATAAACACCAGTCCATTATTACTAACGGTTGGTAATCAACACCCCGTTCCACTCCACCCGTATATGGAATGTAATGTCGACTATTTTGCTTTGTTTAGCGCCAAGATGAGTCAAGAAATTTTGGTTTCGCCCTGAAATCCAATGCTAATATTACTGAGCCCTTCCCGTCTCGTTATGATCATGTTGAATTGTATTCTATTCAAGTTTGTTCATATCTGTGTTTATTTGGTGGTTGAGACATTTTGTATCTAGAAAATGTAGTCAATTTTCGAACTAGGGTGAAACCCGCTGAATTAAAATCAAGAAGGCGTTATCTATTCGCAAGTTTGACGCTACACAGTTTTGCATAATTTTTACACTCGTGTTTTTTTTTGTTTTTTTTTTTAAACAGCATCAGAAAGTGACAGTTGAAATTTCTAGAGCACATAATAAGGAAAGAGTGCTTAGTAAATTTGACACGCGCAGGTCCAACTGAAGGTAAGTGGGACAGAGGAAAGCATCGCATAATCTACCTAACAAGATCGTCAGAACAAGGATTAGGAGAAATAGCAAAAAGGCACATGGCACAATGGATAAAGGCGTTGGTTAGATTCTGTGACAGGACCCAGAGAGTGTGAGTTCAATACCCGGTTAAGGCAGTGGAGAACTTGGAGAGGGGAATTAACAGGAGATAACTAACTGACATCCATTAAAACATGGCACGTGGAACTAGAACAGTCTACACCAGTGAGCGAAATAAAGGGTTCAGTTCGACAGTCCAACCACCTGAACAGTCGAAACGTTGTAATAAATATGGCGACAAAGATGAGGACGATAGTCCGAATGATGTAAATAATGTACATAATACTTCATCTCAGAAATATAGACAGATACAAAAAGGCAGATTATTAAGAACTGCGAAGTCGCGTTGGGATAGCAAATCATGCCTTTCAAAAGCTAAGCAATGTATTAAGAAACAGAGAAAATTCTTTAGAAACAAAGATAAGAGTACTGAAGTATTACGCAATATCAGTCATCATATATGGCGGCGAATGCTGGACAATCGTAGATGAAGAAGAAACTTGAAGAAACATGTGGTTCTACAGAAAAATGATGAGAATAACACGAACCGAATACTTGAGCAATGACGAAGTTTTTTTTAGAAAATGGAAACAAAAATGACAGATATAATTTCTAGGTTGTATAATGAGGAAAGATGGCTTGGAAAATGTGATACACACAGGACAGATTGAAGGCAAGAGGTACAGAGATAAACACCGTATAACCTATCTAGCTAGCTTGTGTAAATGAAGGGCAGAACAGGGTTTAGGAGAGATAACAAAAAGACAAAATTTATTAACAGCTATAAAGGATAGGAAATTGTGAAGAGCCATGATCGCCCACTTCCTGAAGAAACACAGCACATAGAAGAAGAAGATTTATGACATATAAATACCTATTTATGTATTGTGAATATATTTTTTAATCCCATGTCCATGTAGGTAATCATGGCTCATCACAGCTTCCTTTTCATTTCTGTAAATTACAGTAATTGTTCTTGGAAAAAATAGATTACATACATTTAGTGTTATCTGTCTGTAAAATCTCTGCACAAACAATTATGTACGGCTGAAATGAAAAGGTGTAACGGAAAAAGCTTATAAAGATTTGCAAGTGTTTTTGTATATAAACTCTTAGCGGATGTTAGGGTAGCATAACGATTATCAGCGCCAAAAGTGGAATAGGCGAGGGAAGTGCAAATTCTAATCTAGCCTGTTGCTTTCACTTTCGCACCTTTACAGCTATGAGTTAAACAGTAGGGTAGACTGGGTTCTTTAGCTTTGGGTGGCAACGAGTCTAAGTGAAGTAAATTCCAAACCGTGGGTAAAATAACAGGAAGCGTCTCCATCATCTTTCCCAAGAAGATATGACAATCGAAAGGCAGTCCTGGGTGCGACGATAAACTACATCCGTCTGCAAGGCCTCTGATCGGGAGATTGGATGTTTTAGGAGGGTGGAACCACCTCTTAATTGCTGTTGTTCCCAGGTCCACCCTGACCCTGGGTGGTAGCACTTGTTATGGTCCCAGATATGGGTAAATAGTATACTCCCAAACAAAAACAAAAACTATGAAAGCATAAAAATACCTATTTGTAGTAAATTTACCAGCAATACCTATTTATAGTAAAAAGCTTTATTGAGAAAAAATCATTAAATTTCGGCATTAAATGACACAATGTGTTGATAAGCCGTAAAACAAACAAGCAATCCAAGGTAATAAAGGAGAGGAATCTGTGTAGAGCAATGATCGTCTACGTCCTGAAGGGAGAAATCATTTAAAAAATATCCATTATTTCATGAGTTATTTATTAATTAGCAATATATTAATCAGTAATAAATTTACTATTTCATTACTAAACTGAGAAATTGTAAATATCCATTTTTAAACATGTAAAATATTTTTCTCATTTTGATTATTTATTATAGTTGTTATAAACACGACGTTTCAGCCAAGTACATTCTAGCCATCATCAGGTATCCATTTACAAAAAAATATTAACAATTGCTCTACTCAAAAATGAAATACAAAATTATTAAAAAGTGTTACGAACCCGAAATGATAGCCAAATTTTGAAACAATTGAATATAAAGCTTCAAAAATAGACCACTGAACTCCATTGAGAAGATGGCATAGTGGATATATACGTTGACTAAATCCATGTTGCTGTCATCTAACCGTCGTGATTTCAATTCCTGGATCAGGTCGTATAAAACTGGTTCCGCAAGAACGAACCATAACTTGTATCACCGAGGCAAAATATCACAATGATCCTGTATTAAAACCAAACAATGGATACCTGATGATGGTCAGGTGGTAATTGGTCGAAGCGTTTTATCAATGGTAACATTTATAATAATCAAGGTGAGAACAATAACTCGTAGAGATTAAAATGTAACGGCATTATTTAATTAATAAACACTTTTCGATGAGAACCTGAATGTCTGTTCGTTATGTTTAATGAATTATAAATTAGGATGTTGCAATTTCCGCTTACCATGTCCCGCAACTTAGATGAATATAATTATATTCCTTATATAAGTTCCGTGTAAATTCTATGTTGAAAATCCTGAAAAGAGAAACAGAATTTATGTCAATACGACTGTTATCGGCGGAGAATATGGAATAGACGGGCCAAATTCAAATCAAAGCCTAGTGTATTTTAAACTTTCGCACAGATACCATTAGGAACGGTACAATTCCATCTATTCCCCAAACCCCACAACTATGGGTTAAATAGCAGAGAGTCTCTAAATGGGGTAACATCCAGTCTAACGAAAAGAAACGAAAAAAAAAAAGCATATGTTATGGGCCCAATGTTTAGAAATACTATTCTTACTGCATGGAACTAATTCAACTGAAACCAAGCAAGAAACCTCAGCAAATAATTTCGCGCCTTTTACCTTAAGGATACCTAAATTACAATGACAGAAAAAATAATTAAATAACAGCATGAATCCTTAAATAGCAGTTAACAAAACACCTGCAAATTTCAATATAAAAATGATATACCTGCACTTCCTGTTTCAATACAAGAATCGAAAACTCAGAGGCAAAATGAAATGAGTTTTCTGACTATTCATAATCCGGAAAATTCAAGACAAAACACTGTGAACATATTCTTATTATTTGACACTTAAATTCGATTCAATGTATGAAAATATCAATAAAACTTGCAAATCAAGCATCCGGATCTTTGTAAACGCCCAGGTTAAACTATTATCGTTCTATTAAGATGTTCTATGATTAAATGGAAGAAAAAAACTAGAATAATATGATAAAAAAAGAGAGATGATGTGTAAAAAGAATAGAGTGATATATATAATGAATAGAGATAAATATGAACATTTGTAGGTAGAGAGGAAAATATTCATATACACAGATTTGAAATGTCATAGATAGATAGATAGATAGATAGATAGATAGATAGATGCTGTCACTGAGTATATGACAAAAAGAAGGAAAGAAAGAAAATACCGCGCAAATTGACCATGAAACATTTTCTGACATTTGAAAATTGCCAAGAAATGAAACATTTAGTTTTTCTTAAATTTCAAAACAAATGTAATGAAATTTTGCACTGTTTCAAAACAATTAAAATGTTTTTTTTTTTTTTTACAATTATGTTTACCATATACACAGCTTAATAGTCACTTGAGGTTGTTAGTTAGTAAAATGTAAGAATCACAGTTTATGAATATACTAGCAGTAGAGCCCGGCGTTGCCCGGGGATGTAACAGTAAGAGATAGACCGAGTATCGACCATCATAAAGACTGAAAAATAAAATTGACAAAGATTATTGTTTAAGGTTGACGGACACGCATTTCTTATTTTTTTTTTTTTTATGAATTGGTCAAACCCAAACTCAAACAAAAACATTGTTTTCAATCGTTATGAGTCTACCGATTGAATAGAATTTTATTATAAACAATTGTCTTGTAAATGAAATTTTTAAAGCATTCTGAATGTAAAAATAAAGAAAAAAGTGTGCAAGACAATAAAAAACACTACCTGCCAAAAAAATGAAGTTTTGTTGAAATCGGTTGAAAAATGTAGGAAATCCGATCCCATATATAAAGGAATACACACACACACACACACACACACACACACACACACAAAAAAAAACAATCTGGGTTTTATAATAAGTATAACTCGATATGAGTTGTCCCCCTTTCATTCTCGCGATGCCTCTTAATCGTGTTTTCAAATTGATTTTGTGCAAAAAGAATTGTGTTTTTCCAATTTTGGGCGCTGTCAGAACCACCGCAAGGTAATTTTACATAGTCCTGTGAAGTTTTGTTGAAATCGGTTGAAAAATGTAGGAAATCCCATATATAAACGTACAGACACACACACGCAAACACACACACACACACACACACACACACACACACACACACACACACAATCTGCGTTTTATAATAAGTAAGATGTGGGCAAGATAACAGCTAATACCTAGACTTGAATACGTTAAGATTGTAGTGATCTGAAAAGCATCCCTTTGGAAGTCAGTTCCACGTTGTAGCGGTTCTTAGGAAGAAGCTGTTTGTGTGGAGCTTGCATTTCACCGATGTCATACGAAGGCAATGAGGCTTTGGGTCTTAGACATACAACGGAAGAGCAAACAATGAAGCTGATATCACCATTTATCATGATTTATCGAGTAAATATGAATTAATTTAACTTGTCTTTTTGATAAAAACTGTTTTCTTTGAAACCAATGAACGTGAGAATCATCTTTGGTTAAAACTTTCCAAATCGAGTTTCCAATAAACCATTTGTTTTCTGATTAATAAACCAAAACGAAAATGTCATTAGAAACAAAGAAGGAGTCTTGAAATTTTATGTAATATCGATCCTCTAGAATGGCAATGAATGGTGAACCCTCTTCTCAAAGAGGAAGATAAGATGCTGAGAATATCATGGACGGAGCACATAAGCACTTATACTCAGAATTAGAAGGAGACAGTTGAAATTTCTTGGACACGAAATGAGGAAGGAGGACTCGGAGAACTCGACACTAACAGGACATATCAAAAGCAATAGTAACAGGCGAAGGCATATCAACTCCTCATGGGTCATTTAATGCCAAATTTATTTTTCTTTTAAACATTAGTAATTTCTTTTACAAAAATGTATTGTTGGTGATATATTTGTTCTTCACAAAAATGTATTGCTGGTAATTTTTACTATGGAAATGTATTGCTGGTATTTTTACTATAAAATGTATTTTTATACTTTTATTGTGTTTTGATCCCAGTTTGGGGGTTAACTATTTGTTCATAGCTGGGACCCTAACAGGTTCTACCACCCCGGGTCAGGTTAGACATGGGAACAATAGCAATTAAGAAGCGGTTCCACGTTTCTTAAGACCTCCCGATCAGAGGCCTTGCTGCCGGGTGTAGTTTATCGTCATACTCAGGACAGTATTAAAAGGAATTTCTTGTTTTAGTGAATACATTTGAGTAAATTACAAGCAGTTTTATTCGTTTATTGAAAATAAAATGAAACCTATATTTGCATATTTTAAATTTTGAAAATTGAAAATTCCTTTTTTTTACTTATTGAAGTTTTAATTCGATTTTTTTAAAAAAAATGAAATCTTTTGCTTTTCATTTTTATTTATTTCATATTAAGCAGAAAAAAACCCCGCATCCATTATATAACCAGAAAATTTGAAAATAAATGATATACCTGTAATATTTTAGACGGGTTTTTTAAAAACCCACAGTACTAATACAGCAACAATGCAGCTCAGTATTAACGGAATGTTAAAGGGATTAATATTTATGAATTTAAGCGGGCTACTAGGCTGGCATCTCGTTCCCATCCTTTTATTGCCGAATCAGTTAAATGTAACCGCCTCTTCTGCTCCAACAGCTTCTTGTCTCAGACAGTGGAACTCCCTTCCTCTTACTTGCTTTCTGATAACTATAATCTTCAAAAATTTAAATGTAAAGTCAATCGACATGTTCTGATGCTTTGATCTTGTTCCAATTCCTTGTCTTTATCCTTTCCTCAAACACCCCCCCTCTTTACTTTTACTTTCCCTATTTGTAACCTCCTGCGTGCTAGTGGCACTCCCGCTTTTCTTGGGGTGAAGAAGGATGTTAAGTATATCATGGACCGAGCATGTGAGCAACGATGAGGTCTTGGAGAGGATGCAAACAAGAAGTAGGCTTATACTTAACACCAGGAAGAGGCAGCTGAAGTTTCTGGGACACATAATGAGGAAGGAGAGCCCGGAGAATCTGATACTCATGGGTCGAATAGAGGGAAAGAGAGACAAGGGAAAACAACGCATGACATACCTAGAGGGCTTAAGAAATTGGTTGACAGAACGTGGTCTGGGGGAGGTAGAAGAGGGAAGGAACTTGTTGGGAGCTGCAAGGGATAGAGGGAGGTGGAGAGCCATGATCGCCTACGTCCTAAAAGAACATGGCACATAAAAAGAAAGAAAACTAAATTCCATTGGCCTACATATTATGTCTGATTTTGTTCGTCTTCCAAAGATATTCGCAAGAAATCGAAGACATTTATGCTGGTTATACTGACGAGGACCCAACATTGGAAAATACACACGGGTTTAATCAAATTTTATTCAAATAAAAAGCTAAAAATAAAAATAAATTTTCAAAATTTATTTTAATTTAATATTTTTCAACAATTTTATATTTACAAGATATGGCTTGGTCTGAGAAATTTAAGTATCTGTGAAATGTTTCAACAGACGAAAAAATATGATGTCAAAATCTGAAGCGCATTAAAATAGAAAAGATGTCTTTCAAAAGCTAAACAGAGTATTAGGAAAGAGGGAAATTTGGTTAGAAACAAAGACAAGAGTGTAATATCAATCTTCTCTTATGGCCATGGATTCTAAACAGTTTCATCATAGATGAAGAGAAGATTTGTGGCAACAAAGATATGATTCTACAGTAGGATGCTGAGAATGCCATGAGTGGAATATGTGTGTAACGTATACATTTTATCAAAAATTGATATAAAAATGACTCTTGTACTTGTAAAATAGAGAGTATTGGACTTACAACTCTTTGGGTCCTGTCACTGGATCTAACCAACGCCTTTAAGGACACATGACACAGTGGATAAAGGCGTTGGTTAGATGCAGTGACAGGATCCAAAGAGTTGTGAGTTCAATACCTGGTTAAGGCGGTGGAGAACATGGAGAGGTGAATTAACCGGAGATAATTGATAAATGACATCCATTAGACATGGCACATGGAACTAGAACAGTCTACCCCTGTGAGCGAAATAAAGGGTTCAGTTCGATATTTCAACCACCTGAAGAAGGCATAAGCGCACAACGGCCGAAACGTTGTGATAAATATGCCAACAAAGATGACGACAACAGTCTGAATAATATAAATAGTGTACATAATATCTCATCTCAGAAATATAGACAGACAGAGATCAAAGATGATGGTAAAGGATAAAAATTACTTATTGCAATAAAAGATGGGAAGCTGAGGAGAGCTGCGATCGCTCACATCCTGAAGAATTTTGAGAAAAGAAAATTATGTCCTGCATATGCTATCAAATACATATATACAGTGTTTATTTTATTTTATGTTTATGACTCCGGACTAGAATGATCTATTGGTACTACGATTTGGAGGGAAAAAAAACAAAAAACAACTACCATGCTTTCCTTCCTTGAAGTGCGTTAGGCATTTACGCCACAAGAGAAAGAGACATTGGAGAGGAAAGAAAGAAAGCAAATATTTGTCAGGTGCTGGTTCAGTAATTCAATCACGGAGATAAATCTCAAGTGCACACTATGTTTAGTTGTTAATGTCATTATTTATAAACCGATTATCGCGGACACCTGACTGTGAAGTAGTTGTTATTTTCATCAGTGGTGAAAAGAATGAAAGATCGCATTCTAGTGTTGTGTGAGTAGATATATTACATGCAAAGAGGGAATCATGCAGAATGCTTTTGGTATTCTACAGAGTATCTAAAACTTCAAAATGATGTATGCGTTTGGTCGTCCGTTAGGATGGCTAGCTAATCCCTGTTGCAGATGCCTACTCAGTTATGCTTCTCAATATCCACAGAGCCAACCTGTGGTTTATATTGCAAATAGATAGATAGATAGATAGATAGATAGATAGAGAGAGAGAGAGAGAGAGAGAGGTATTTACAGTATTTATATCGTTCGGATTGTTGTCCTCATCTTTATTGTCATATTCACGTCGTTTCGGCAGGTGTACACTCCGACCTTCTTCAGGTGATATACGCTGGAATTTCGAATGGACTCCTTTATTTAGGGGTAGATTGTTCTAATTCCACGTACCGTGCCTTTTTGGAATATCTTCGTTTCAGTTAATTCCCTTTAGTAACTCAACAGTCCAAGTTTTTGTTTCTGCTACAACTGTTTGGATTGCTCAGCCAACGCGTTTATCCACTGGCCATGTGTCCTTGGGGACATCACTCAGTGAATTTTTGGGACTTATAAACGTAATCATTTTTTTAAAATTTTTTTTCAGGCTCTCTGTATTACTGGTTCCCATATTGCATCCATGTCTATGCTTGGCCGACTTAAGAGATTTTTATTGTGAATATGGCAGTAAAGGTGAGGAGAACAGTCCGAACGATGTAAATAGTGTGAATAGGTACTATACCTCATCTCAGAAATATAGACAGATATTAAGAGAGGGCAGTTGACGTGATCAGTAGTTGAAAAAGGCTAGTACGATTAATCTCTTGAGCACGATGACTTTTAACTTACTAGCACAAGCATCGATGGCTTTGTAACAGTTTTGTCTGCTCAATTGTACTCTTGGTTTAACCCCTGGCATGTTTTACGGGTAATTTTTCACGGTACCGCACGCTGGAAAGGTCCCTCCAGGCCGATATTATCAAGAAGTAACCTCGTTGACAAATCGGCTATAGTGAAATTCGTACCCTGGACTCATGGAACGAAAGCTAACGTTCTAATCATTCAGTCATATGTCCACAAATAATGAAACTATATAAGCCAAGGTAATGACAACATCTTTTTTCTCGTTCGAATCTATCTTATATATTTATAAGTCTACCATTCGTCCATGCTTTGAATATTGCTGCCACATCTAGTCCGCTGCTACTGCTATGTATTTAGAGATCCTTGATAAAGAATCATTGGTTCTGATCTGGAATCTTGGTTTCAGACACTTTCCCACTACCGGAGTTAACCTTCCTTGTACCTTCTTCGATAAATACTTTCATGATGAACTTTCCTCTGTCGTACCTAGAGTTTATGAATTTAACTTCAGGAGGAAGGAACGGTTTCATCATTTTACTGTCGAAATAGCTAAGCATAGCCGCAAGGTCTATGCTAACAGTTTCTTCGCTGACATGTGGAGCTATCTTCCGGCTTCCTTCTTTCTAACTAAGTTTCATCTTCAAAAATTTAAATAAAATGTCCATTGTTATTTTCTGTCTTTTTAATTCCTGTTCGTTTGTTGTTCTCCCTCTTTAATTATGTTTTCTTTTTCGTATATTCTATCACACTTAGTAACCCCTTGCGTCTTAGTGGATTTATTGCCTTGCTTCGGATGAAATGATTAAAAAAAAAGAAAAAGAAAAAAATCAAATATAAGTATATTTCCCATGGGGATTCAAGTGTTGGTTAATGTCAAGATTCCGAATGCTGATTTTTAAGATGTCTGGGACGTTCTTCCCTGGAATATTGGGGCAATATTACTAGCTTCATTTTAATGGAGAAAATGAAGAGGGGAGTTTGCATAGAAACAACAAAAACAAGACGATCTTTTTGCGGAAAACTGCATTGCACTTCTGAGGGAATAGAATTGAACTGCTTTGGCAATCATAACGGATGCGTGAAAACGAGGTAAATTTAAACAGAATTTTCTTCCGCTCCGAGATTATGTTTATATCCATTTACCACATTTATGAATCTACCATTCGTCCGTGCATTGAATATTGCTATAGTATCTGGTCTGGTGCTCCGGCTATATATATCGTAGGTCTATAGTTATCGGTCCTGACCTGGCATATCGACTTTCTAATCTTACTGTGACGTGACTTCTCTCTGTCTTTTCTACAAATATTTTCATGGTAGTTGTTCTAATGAGCTCTTCTCCTTGTTACCTCGACTGCATTAATTTAAGTGTACTACATGATTGGCAATTAGGTCTCATCGTTTTACTGTTGAAATAGCCAGATGTAACCGTAAGTTCTATTCTAATAGTTTCTTTTCTTGCACTTTTAGCCTGTGGAACTCACTTCCGGTTTCTTGCTTTCCTGTCACCAAAAATTTTATAAATGATACTTCAGTTGCCATCTTCTGTCTTCACTGAATCCTGTCCTTTCTCCACACTAAAGTTTTCTCATACTCTTCCACTCCCAGTGACCCCTTTCCTCTTTATGGCATTATCGCTTTACTTGATGTGAAGTTATCTAAAAAAGTCGTATATTTTTATATAGCAACAAGGTTATAAAAAGGAAGTTAAACGCAAAACACGTAGAAAATGAGAGAAATAAGAAAAAGTATTTAAGCCTATAAAGAAAGCGAACTTTAGCCTGGATAGCGCATGGACTCCTGAAGAGATTACTTCAATTCCAATACCAAAGGACTGACTTTTGACCAAACAAGGCGTTACCATTATCTCGTCTGTTTTATATAATAATCAGCGAGTGTTTGCACAACTTTGTACCTTATTTAATACTTGCATGAATTATTTAAATATTTTATTTTAATACGCGATGTAACAATTTAATTTCTTGAACGTCCATTGTGAAAGCAAAATTTACATACTTGTCCTCTGCCGGTTGTTTTCACATTCAAATTATTCACCTCGTGAAGCCATACAGTTCATGCCATTGCTGGAAACATTTTTGGAATACGTTTTACAGGATAGTGTAATCACATATTAGGGCATATCAGCAAATTATTGACATTTCAGGTTTTTTCAATTTAGGGAAGAGCCCCAAAATCACAGGTAGCTAAGTCTGGTGAATTAGGCAGAGAGCAACATATTCTGGCCCTTCTTTGAGCAGCATAATGCTATTCAAAAATGGATTTCTTCATTGCATGTTAAACATAAGCCATTATAATAGGGTTATGGCTTCACAGACGCTTTTCATTAATGTTGACAAAACGTTTTATTAATCTGCTACTTCAGATTCCCTTCTTTCATTTTCTGCCAACAATCTTTTATGTCTGTGATCAGCATGCCTTATGCTAAACTCCAGTAGAGCAACACTTTGTGCTTTTTAGGACTCATAGGAGTGATTATATTGAATCAATTGTTAGGTCTACTGCTAAGAAAGTGGTTCGCAGTGTAGTGCCTGACAATTTGTCAGAATCCTTCTGGCACATTTATAAACATATCATTCATCCTTGCATTAAATATTACTGTCATACTATACTATACATCTCGAGATTCTTGACAAAGCCCAAAGAAATGTCTGCAATATAATCTGTCCTAACCTGGCATCTTGTTGTCTTCAGGCACATTCCCACCACCGTGACGTGGCTTCCCTCTGTCTTTTCTATATTTTCACGGCGATTGTTCTGATGAGCTTTCCTCTTTGTTTCCTTGACTGCATATGTTCAGGCCTACTACTAGATTGGCAATTAGGTCTTACCGTTTTACTGTTGAACTAGGTCGATACAACCATCTGTTCTATTTTAATACTTTTTCTCTCACTACTCGATTGTGGAACTTACTTTCATTTTATTGCTTTCCTGTCGTGTACAATCTTCTAAAATTTAAATGCAACGCCAATCGCCATCTTCCGTGCATTGGATAGTAATTCTAGATCTGATTTGGTGCTTCTATTTTATATTTTGAGATTCTTGACAAAAATCAAAGAAGGGTCTCTAATGTAATAGATCCTGACCTGGCACCTCGAATTTCAATCACTTTACCACCGCGTAGATTGCCGTTGTCTTTTCTACATATATTTTCATGCTAATTGTTCTGATGAGCTTTTCGTTTTACTGCCTCGAATACATGAATTAAAGCGTGACAACCAGATTAGCAACTAGGTTTCACCTTTTTAGTGTTGAACACAGGGCCGGCGTGTCTTATCCCCGACCGGGGATGGTGGCATTTTTTGGGGTCTTCGCTGTGGCCTCTGCTATTTTTTCAGCACTGTTTTATGGCCATTCGCCATTTGTTTTTAATTATTTTTATGCTGCCGTTACATTGTCAGTCATTAACTAATATTGTGTATCTACATGGCCGGTGCGGTGTGTACTACGTAGGAACCCCGACGAGCTTGGAGCCCCAAAAGGGTTAGTTTCAGCAGTGGGTTTTTTGTACTTTTTACTCTTTTTCTACCTAAGTTATATTGTCAATCATCAACTATAATAATCGACAGGACCGATGCTTACAAACCCGAACCTCATAACCACGTGGCGGTGGGCAGAAGTGCTAATTTTAGTAGCGCTTATTTTTTTATAAACTGTAATTTTCTTTCTGAACAATTCTTTTAAATCAATCAAAAAGCTAATATATCTCGATAAATTCTTTTTTATTCTGAGATCATCCACTAAGGAGGACTTTTGATTTTTTTTACTAATAGTAATACTAAACAGAAATCCACGGCTAGTAATTCAATAAAATTTCTAGTCCCTATTTTTTAGATTTCTAGAAAGATAAAACCGAGAGAATGATCGCTTAAAAAATAAAAATGTTTAAAGATTTTAACATGGAAATTTTTCCCGAAAACTGAAGTACTGTTTTTAAAACCAACTTTAACAATCCCGTTTGTGTTGTGTTGAAATCTTTGTAAAACCTTTTTTTTTTGTTCACTGGGGATGCTAGGTTGCACCATTTTAATACTGAAATTGTTAAGCGCAAGTTCCATACGAATGGCTTCTTCTCTCGTACTTCTTGCTTGTGAAACTCTTTTCAAAAATGTAAATGCAACATCAATCGTCTGCCTTTTTGAAATCTGTTCATTTATTGCCCTTTCTTCTCGGTAACGTTTTTCTCAGTTTATTTCACTGTCAGTAGCACCTTTCGTCTTAGTGGATTTATCGCCTTGCTTGGGGTGAAATGATTGAAAGATAGTAAATGATACACAGACAAATTAATAATATAACGAATTTATAATAACTGAAGGTTGTTAAGGCAATGTGTTATTTTTGAGTTGATTTTGGCAGCTTTTCAAGATTTTAGCTGTGATTAATTTCTTTTTCTCTCCTTTCAAGAAAGAATG